TCTTCTTCTTCCTCCTCCTCCTCTTCTTCCTCTTCCTCTTCCTCCCCCTCCTCTTCCTCTTCCTCTTCTTCCTCCTCCTCTTCCTCTTCTTCTTCCTCCTCATCGTCATTTTCTTCATTCTCTTCCTTTTCTTCCTCTTCTTCCTCTTCCTCCTTTTCCTCATCCTTCTCTTCCTCTTCTCCCTCCTCCTCCCCCTCCTCTTCCTTTCTTTCTCCTCTTCTTCTTCTCCTTGTCTTCTTCTCCTTCCCCTTCCTCCTTTTCCTCCTCGTCGTCGTCCTCCTGCGCGGCCTCCTCTTCTGTTCTTCTTTGTCTCCTCTCCTCCTCCGGCCATCTTCTCCTTCCTCACCACCCTCCTCGTCCATTCCTGCACGATTCCTTTCCTCCGCAGCCACCTCGTCCTCCTTCGTCCTCGTCTGTTCTTCTTCACCGCCTTCTTTTCTCTCCCTTCTCCCGCAGCACGAAAATAAAATAAAATTGCTTGCATTTCTCCTCCCTCCTGCCTCCTCCCTCCCTCCTCCTTTCTGCTGTCTCCTTTGTCCCTCATTCAGGCCGTTTCGCCACCTCCCTATTTCAATTTCCCAAATGCCTCCCTCATGCCATTTGCCTCCTCCCACCTGCCATCTTACCACCTCGCTCCTGCAATCTCCCACATCTCCCACCCCCCTTTTGCCTCTTCCCTCCTGATCGCCGACCTTCCTCTTACCCTTTCCCTCCTTCCTCCGCCATCTCCAACCTACCCCGCACCCGCTCCTGCAATCTCCCACCCCCCTTTTGCCTCTTCCGTCCTGATCTCCGACCTTCCTCTTACAATTTCCCTCCTTCCTCCGCCATCTCCCACCTACCCCCCACCCGCGATTTCCCTCCTCCTTCCTGCCATTTCCCACCTCGCTCCAAACCTTCATTTCCTTCCTCCCTTCCCCTGCCATTCCCCTCTTTCCTCTTGCCATCTCCCACCTCCCTCAACCATCTTCAACCTTCCTCCCACCATCTTTCATCTCACGGAGATGAAGTCTGTTGAGTGTGTTCTAAGTGCTTGTGAACCCTGTCAAACACCCCTATAACCCGCCTCTCCGTAGTTCATGTGCTGCAGAACCGGGCAGATCAGATTCTGGGAAAGCACAGCAGAACCCATCACCCATAATGGAAAAGCCTTTTTTTTTTTGGCTGTACAGCGTACCCTGTGAAAGCACGCGGCCGTGCCAGGCTGCCAGCTTCCTGGATGCCGGACRTGATGGGCACAGCCAGGTGCAGAAGCCTAGTCTTGCAATGAATTACAAGGACCATATCGATTGACTAAGCAGGAATAAATAAAATTTTGATTACT